TGAGCATTACAATTTAGATGCTTAAGGTTAAAGTATGTTCCACAGAGCACACAAAAATCTATGTCATCTGTGACTACACAGCAGTATAAAGGTCTATAATCAATTGAAATGTAAGTTTAACTTCAACAATGTAAAAAATCCTTATAAATACAATGATGTATAAAATGTCAGGAAAAAAAAAAGGGGGGAATGAAAGAGCATGAATGACCTTGCTCAGCTGCTGCTGTAGAAAGTGATCCCTAGTGATGCCAATAAAAACCAATGAAGAGTCCACCACTCAACTCCTCACTTACATAGGGATCTAAACCACAATTCTCAGTGCAAGATCTATAGGCACAAGCATTTCTAAGACATGGTTTCTTGGTGTCTGTTTGCCATTTTCTATCAAGGAATTGGGAGGCATAAACAGGGCACAAAACGCAGCAGCATCTCTTGTAACTGACTCTCAATTAGCGGACCCTCTTCGTCCCCTCTATTAAATAAATACTCAGACTGGGCCATGTGAACTCAATAGTGCCAAGGTGCTACTCCTGCCCTCCCCATTGAGTTTGTTGCCAAGTTAATTGGCCTTTTTCACAAGCTCTTTACACCAGCTGTTCTTACTATTGTCATGTATTAAACATTATAAAAACTAATGAAATAATAATTATGAGGAGTGGTAAACATTATTCCATTTTATTTTTATATCTCTTTCATAAAAGTTAGGTTGAATGTTTTGGAAAGATAAAGGTAAGTTTGCTTGAGAAGTTAAGTTGCTTAAAAGTTTACTACCAGTTTCATTGTGGGAAGTCAGCTGTATACACTTAGAGAACTAATTATAATTAGTTAGGACAATTTGACACTCAGATTGTAGCTTCATTTTAGTGTATATCATTTTCATGACTGACCTTTTTAACCAACTTTCTCAATTAGTCAATGAGGTAATAGGTACTCCTATTGTTTAGCATCTTGCTCTGGGAAGGATGTTGGTCACTCACATGGAAATGTTTTTCTGGTAGTCAACGGTCTTCAAGTTTTTCTCAAAAAAACAATTCTCTTTCCCTGACTATATTTCATAAAATCCAATACATCATTGATTATAAGATTCAATTTTTTTTTCTTCCTTCTGATGTTACATAGAATAGGCTGCCTATTGACTGGGATGCCATCAACTAGAAGACATAACCCAATTTCAAAGATGTTATAATTAAAATTACACATCTGGGAATAGATGAAAAATTATTTGAAAATAATCAGGTTCACTGGAAAAGAAGTTTAAGTATAGAAGAATAAAAAGCCACTCAAAATTCTACCATTCGGGAAAAGCACAGCTAAACATCTATCTATGTATATACATATAGCTATGAATAAGTTTTAAATGGCTCATACTATAAATACTATTTATATTTTGTTTTAGATTGCTCTCTTTGATACCATAAAAATCAGTTTTCTGACAAATGTACTGTGATGATCTCACTTGGATGCCCATTTTTGCAAACTTACCCAGTACATAGCTATTTTTATTTTTAAAAAATATTTGTTTCTTTATTTGGATGCAACAGGTCTTAGTTGCAGCACTTAGGATCTTCTATCTTCACTGTAGCTTGTGGGATCTTCAATTTCAGCATGAGCAATCTTTTTAGTTGTGGCATGCAAACTCTCAGTTGTGGCATGTGGGATCTAGTTTCCTGAACAGGGATCAAACCCAGGTCCCCTGCATTGCGAGCAAGGAGTCTTAGCCACTGGACCACCAGGAAAGTCCCCATAAGCTGTTTTTAAATGTTAAAAATAAACAAATATTTTAAACGTTAAAAATAAATCAAATTCTTTGTTAGGAAATCATAATAGGATTAGAAAATAGACTATTTCTAACCCTGGAAAATAATTTCATTTTAAAATAATCAGAAACGGAAGAGATCTTAAAGAAATCTAGTCCCACTCCCTCATTTACAAATGAGGTACAAATAGGTTGCTCATCATCATAGGTAGATCTGGGACTAAAATCAAATTGTATTACATTCTATTCTAGAAATCATCCTGTCTCTTTCTGCATTGACAATCTCAAATGTATATTACCTGCTTTAATTTAAATTGTACTATAAAATATTCCATTAATCGGATTCTTCAGCCAAGTATTCAGATGTCTAGGTCCTATTATTCATTCTGTAGGTGGTTGTGAGATGTGCATAAGCATGTAAGGGTCACTGCTACTTTTTCACCTGCTCTACATCCCTTCCTCTTGGGAAATGCCCCTCCCTCACTCTATGCAATAATGGCAGGGTTGTTATTTTCCTGCCACAGTGTGGGCTGATGACCCAGGTCAAAGTGCACAATTCTCCTAGAAATAGCAATTGGTTCAAACTTGGCCTATTAGAGTTGTTTGGAGGAAATGATTTGGGTGTTAGGGAAAAGGGTTATTTCTTCTGGATCACTAGCTGGGTGGATGATGAAGTAGCTATTTTTGCCATCAGGTAGTCAAACTCAACAAAGAAGAAAAATGAACAATATCCACAGCCTCTATTAATATTGATCCATAGACTTCCAGACCTCATCTGATTCAAGGGCACTAGATTCAACAGTCAGCAATTTATCATGTGACCTGGTATCAAATGACGAACTAGGTCAACCAGATTTCCTCTCCAAAAATATTAATTATAAAAGACAGAAAATATTGGTTAAGGTAGAGGGCCATGAGATAGCACTGGAGCCCTAGAAGAAACACAGAATTGTGAGGAGAAAAAAGGAGACATAAGCAGATGTCATGAAGATGTCCCATAAGAAAGAGAAAAAGAATTCATATCTCTAGCATTGTTCAGATTTCTAGGTTTTCTAGTTCTGGGTGCTCACAAGATACAAATGGTCTGTTCACTTGAAACATACTTACTAAGAGCCTGCAAATGTTTAAAACACATGGTAGATTCAGTTATTACAGAAAAAGATTCACTTTCTCCCCTGCCCTCTCCAAGGGAAAAAAAAAAACCATATTTTCTCTGTCCCCTTGACTAAGATTCTTATTTTGACTAACAGGATATCAGTAAGTATTTAAAATATTAATATATTTCAGTGGTTGCATTTGCTCTCTTATACCTCTGTCATCACCATGAAAACATGTTAGCCAACTGATCTCAGGATTAGAGGCGTGTGGACCAAGCATGCAGCCTAGAGCCACTCAGCTGATTGCAGCCTGTCAGTCAACTCCCAGGTGGCCCACAAACAGAATAAATGCTCACTGTTGTATGCAACAGTATGTGATGTATGTAATGGCGTTGCATGCAACAGTATGTGTATGTATTAATATCCGATGGTGTGGTTATTTGTTACTCAGCGATAGCTCACTGATACAATACACTGAGGATAAGGTCCTGTGGGCCACTTAAAGACAGTCCTTATTCTCAGGCTTTCCACAACACATAACAGTACCTACAAAAATTAACCACCCAGGCCCTGTGCAGAAGATGGAGGCTAATAAAATAACATCTTTCCCCAGGGAGAATTCCTATTCTCATGAGAAAGATGGATTCTAATCAAATGGTCATAAAATAATGTGAAAAGGGGTTACGCATAGAGTCACCTATGGGTCTAACTCAGCCCAGAGGAGTCAGCAGAGGCATCCCATAAGAAGAGATAGACACAGAGGTCTGAAGGATGAACAGTCACTTATTAAGTAGAGAAGAAGATAGAAAGACTCTAAGCAGAGAGCACAAATATACCAAAACATTAAATTTCAAAGCGTGAGAGGAGTTCAAATGGCAGCCGTGGCTGAAACTCACCCTTATGCTAAAGTAGACAGCAATTCAGAATGAATATAAATGATGGTCAACTAGAGTTTTTACTAAGAGTCACTTGTCATCATAATAAGGTTTGACTGATCATTTTAAAGCCTTAATTTACTATTTTGATAATTCAGCTTTGTTTACTTCACTACAGAAAGTTCCTACAATAATGATCTATAAGGTCATGCATTTTATTGTCCTATAATACCATCTGTAACATTAATAGCAAAACCAGATCCTGAATGCTCTGCAAGGGCTGTCAATGTGTCAGCAAAGAAAAGGTCTTTGAGTGTTCATGACAGCATTGAAGGCCACAGTATGAAAAGATGACTCCAGACAACCACAAACAAAGTAACTTCCAAAGTACTAAACACACAATCTCAAATAAAGTGGCAGTAGCTGAGAAACTCTTCTCAAAACACAGATCAGAAATGCAAAGTGTCCTACTGAATAAAGGTTTCAGCAGGAAACCCCAGGCAGAAGCATAACATTGAGGTATCAACAACAGGTTTCACCTCAAGCACTTTGGCAAGGAGTGTCAGTGATGTCAAATAAGAAAATTTTCAAACTGGCACACCACTGAAGTTACCAGCAACAGCGGCATCTTCGAAGTGCTAAAAGATAACCGCCAGTAAACAACACACAGAGACGCCAAGGATTCCACTGATCACTTCAAACTACAAGATAAACAAGTAACTATCGCGTGAAAGAGAAGGGGTGGGCGGGGGCAGCTTTTACAACTCCCTTGGATCTCAGCTCCACGGAAGGGACCCAAACAACACGTGCAACGTCACAGTCCCTACACAGTCAACCACGCTGATCACCAAGAGAGGGGCCAGATTTGGGGCTGGAAACAGGCTAGGAGTTAAGAAGCAAGGAGAAGAAACCAGGGGAAGAAAGTCAAACGGAAGCAGAAAAGAGCAGTGTGGGCTGCGGAGCGGCGGTTCCACCAACCCTACAGGCGGGCAGGAAGAAAAGTCCCCCAGATGCAGACTAATGTCTAGCAAGGAATCTTCTACTTCTATCGGAAGTTTCCCAGGACTCAGCTTTGGCTACCCCCTCCCTACCGATGCCACCTGATGCCTCCCTTTTTGGTGGGACCCGTAGGGGAACCAAGGGGGCGCTCCTCAGGCGGCTCCGGGTAAAATTGTGAGAGAACTCCCCGAGCTTCCAAGGGTAGAAGAGCTACCGATCGCTTGCGAGGGGAGTGGCCAGAGGCAATAGTGAATTAAGAGGGCTCTCCCTTACCTGCCGCAGGAGCTTCCACCGGGCGGCACCCAAGGGCGCCGAGGCTGCGGGTCCCGGAGCGGCGCCGCTGTCTGTCTGGCCTTCGCCTGCCGTCTGCTCTGCTTGTCCGGCGGCGGCGTCAGAGACTTGAGATTCCATCCCGCTAGAGGCTCTTATACCCGAGATCCCGCCGCCACAGCTCTCCCCTGCAAGGACCTGCCTACTTCTTCCCAGTCAGGACCTGTGACGCCAGGCCTCCCTCCCACTGCCCTAGCTCCCGAGCCCTCCCCGAATGCCGCATTTCCGGTAGTCGCGTCCCCTTAGCAACCAGGGCAGCGCGACTGTCGCCACTGCACCATTTTGCTGGTGGCCATCTTGAGTGAGGGCAGACCAGCGGGTGCGAGAACTGTGGCAAATCTAGCGCGACCCTGCCCTTTTTTGTTCTTCTCTCTTCTGTTTCATCTCGAGTTCTGAAGACTAGCAAAAATCCAAAAGATTTGTATTTTGAGCAATAATGATCTCAGAAGGAGAAAAATCCATTCCTGACCACAATAAAGATGGTGGAATCTGCTTAGCGCTCGTGCTAGTTGGGGGGTTACGTAGAACACGTGCTTGCAAACTAGCTCTCGGCGACACTGGGTAGGCAGTGGTTCTGCTAGCTGCAGAACGCAGACTTCGGCAGGACGCGATCGAGGTGACAGCTGCACTCCTTCCTGAGAGCTTCGGGTCCTCTGGGCGTGCCTTTATTCGTTTCGGTATCTAGAGCCAGGCTGACTTTCAATTTGCGTACGTATTGGGGGGCGTAGGCCGGGGGTCTCGTCCCTTCACCTCTTCCCTCCCCATCCAGCCATCCCTCAGTCCTTTAGTCCTAGCTTTTTGACTGATGTCACTTAACTGCGTGACACATGGTACCACTCTCTCGCCTCGGATGCACAGGGAAAACGAATAGGTTCTCCCAGGAACACCCGTGTGTCTGCCCTACCCCCATCGTTAACCTGCTGTCTTCTCCCTGCGGGTGGAAGATGGGTGGATGGAGGCTGCCGGCAAGGATGTAGTAATTTGGAGCCTTTTATTTTCTCATACTTTATTTAACTTCTTTGTTTTTGCTGGTATCGGCTGCTCATTCCCTATTTCAACTCTCCTTTATTTTGCTGCTTCGTAGCGGATCCGAGCTGTGATAAAGCTGACGCAGTATTTTCCCTTTGCTACCCAGAAACATTTTGTGGAAGACTTTCATGATGACATTCAACAGTGTGCAGCATATCTAGATATTTCCTATCCCAAAAATAGCAGCCAACGGTTACTGAGTGGTTATACATTCCAGGCACTTTATTAAGAGTTAAACATAAATTACTATTTCATTCTTAGAACTACTCCGTAGTTAGTGGGGTTATTGTCTCTGTTTTGCACATGACTGAACGAAGCACAGGTGGAAGTGCAGGAGTGAAGATCTGAACCAGGTTTCTCTGACTTAACTACTCACTAGCCTTACTTACCTTGCTAGATAGGTTAAAAAGAACGGGCTTTCCAACAGAAGACGGATGGCATCACATTTCTTGTGTGCATCCTGAAGTGTTTTTGGCAACTAAAGAGCTAATTCCCTTTTTAACATCAAAGTCCAGTTGTTTTTATTTGCAGATAGACATTCCTCTATCACTTTCTGTCGAGGTGACCTGGGGTAGTTGCTTAAACTTCCCTAAGCCACAGTTTGCTCACCTGTAAGATCAACATAATAGCTACTCTATCAGGTTTCTATGAAGTTTAAATTAGATCAAGAATATAACAGCATCTGGCATGTAGCAAACACTCAATAAATACTAATCCCTTCTTTACCTTTATTCTGTAATTAGTCTTTTCCAGTTCATCCTGCATATATTGGGTTGGCCAAAAAGTTCATTTAGGTTTCTCCATGAAATCTTGTGAAAAACTGGAAGGAACTTTTTGACCAACCCAATACACATAAAAGATAAGATCTGAATTATGTAAAATCAAAGCCGGTTCGCCTTTAAAAGCCCTCAGAGTTCCTGAGATGCCCCCAGTAAGTCTTTGTATTTATTGCAGATTTTTATTTTGTTTTTCGTTTTTGTTTTTTTAGTTTGCCCATGTGTGTACCAGAATCAGTGCTGCATAGTTTGAGCCTGATAAGATTGACCTTACTAAAGAGACATTTAAGTCACATCTGCCAAGAAGTATGACTTGAATGAAACTAACTTGTACAAGTTTTCAATACTTTTAACCTGAGTTATCAGCTGTCTGCAGTTATTTGTAACCTGAGGGGTACACAGCCCCAAAGGGGAAAGTTAAGAACTGCAGATCTTAGATGCTCTGAGAACCCACTGCTGTACAGTCATTCCTGTGAAAATCATTCATGTGCTGGCAGCCCCTAAGGGAGCGTAAGCCAGGGACTTTGATACCATGCAGCAGAAGAGCCAATTGTTTCTCCAAGCTTTGAAGTATAGTATTCCTCACCTTGGGAAATGCATGCAGAAACAGCACTTGAATCACTGTAACTTCGCTGATCATTATTACAATAGAATAAAATTGAAAAAATATCAGCTAACCAAGTGTCTGCAGAATAAACCCAGGATCTCAGAGTTAGCAAGAAACATCCCAAGTCGGAACTTCTCATGTAAGGTATGGACTGTTTGAATTAACCTCTGTGTAGGCCTTTAAGATTAATTTTAGCTTAAAAATAAAGAATGGGTAGGAGATCAGTTACTAATTTTTTCAGTAAATCTGGTTTGATTTTTTAAATGGTCAGACTCAATTTTCTGTAGTCATATGTAAGTATAAAAGAATATATACATATATATTTATAGAGCTCTAATGTAATATATAAAAATGTACATTTATAAAAAATGATTCACCTTAGGAATTCCTTCCTGTGCCTACCAGTGCAGCTCAAAATATAATTTGCCTTCTAAAATTCCTGGACTGTTATAATAACTCTTAATAAAATCTAATAATATGCTGATTGTTTTATGAATCCCAAATTAGTAAACTTCAGTGAAAACCACTTAATTGTGCTACTTCTCTGTTAAAAATTGAAAAAAGGATTTGCATTCTTGACCACTGTATTCCTGTAGAAGATGCTTTCGGACCATTGTACTCTGGCCAGACCCCAAGCCATGGGTATGACCTCAACCTTGAGGATCTATTGCCCTTGTATGTAGAATGATCACATATCCTCCGTTGCCTCCAACAGTCTCAGTCTACACCTATTGTCCATTTATAGTTATTGGCAGCTTCCCACTCCTCCCAGAAGTGTCTTAGGTTGTCAAGTTATGTGCTCATCCTAGTTATTTGAGTTAAGCTGCTGGTACTGTTGCCCCTTTGACATAACCTCCCCTACCACATACTTGCTATGTCCTGAGGTTCCTTAAATTGCATTTAGGAGTAATATTTGTGCAATATTTTAGCATATTTTGTTATTTTAGTGCTTTAATTTCTAGTTTCATACTAATATTTTTAGTCTCTTGACTTTTTTATTGTAGTAGAGTATATGTAACAAGTTTCCATTTTAACCATTTTAAGTGTATAATTCCATGACATTAATTACATCACAATGTTGAACAGCTGTTATCACTGTTTCCAAAATCCTGTTGTCACCTGAAAAAAATATACCTAGAATTCCCCACTCCTGCCTTTCCTGAACTGTGGAAACCTTTAATCTACTTTATGTCTCTATGAATTTGCCCATTTTAGATAATTCATATAATTGGAATTATATAATATTTATCCTTTTGTGTTTGGTTTATTTCACTTACATTGTTTTCAAAGTTCATCCATATTGTAGCATATATGGGAAATTTATTCCTTTTAGTGGCTGAATAATACTTGTTTTATATACCACATTTTATTTATCCATTCATCTGTTGATAGACACTTGAGCAGCTTCTGTTTATAAAAATGCTTTTTTAATCTTATTTTACTCAATTCTTCTGGTTTTTTGTTTCATTTTTGACTTTTTATGAGCTCATACTTATTTATCATGGGGCATTTTAGGGGATTTTTGTTGTTGTTTGCTTTCAACTTTTTAATCTTAGTCCTAGACTTCTGCTCTTTACATTTCAGTCATCCAAACTTTTCTTTTTATAGCATCTTAGTTTAGTTTAGCACTTTCTTTTTTTACTCAAATTTTTCAGTGTCTTTTATTTCATTTTTACCCTTTGTGTGTGTATTTGCACACATGTCCTACTTGAGAAAGGTAAACTTTAAAACTTTACGTATTGGACACATTTTAGACATTTAGATCATTATATTTTGAATTGTGTCTGGAACATTTGGTTATCTTGTACTTTTATCCTTCGTCTCTGTTTATAAATAGTATGCAGGAATTACCCTCAGAGTGTCAGCTGTGAGATTAGCTCACACCCTCTGCAGGAGTTGGACTATTTTTTCCCTCTACTTGTCCCTGAAGCAACTTTTACGTTCTCTCTCATAGAACCCTGTTGTCTGGAAGCTTTAACCTGCTTCAGTGGCTTAATAATACCAGGCTTCACCTGGTAATGGTCTGGCTTTCACATGTCGCACATCAACCATTCCTTCTGTGAGAAATTACATGATCTAAAAGCTGTACCCCCTGTCCTTTATGATCGCTGGGACCGGGGGGAAACTGTGAAGAGGTCTGTAGTCAAAAATGCACAGCTGAGTAAGCGTTCACTCAGTTTCAACTTTGTCTACTCTTATGGGAACAACCTGGAGAAGGAAATGGCAACCCACTCCAGTACTCTTGCCTGAGGAACCCCATGGAGGGCTTCAGTCTGTGGGGCCACAAGAGTCAGACACAGCTTAGCAGCTAAGCAACAACGACAGAGGGGAACAGCAAAGTAGAAAAAGTAATCCGTGCCTTTTAGGCAAATTAAAATATATTTACTTAAAGACTTGTTTAGATAAGTTAACTAAAGAGTAAGGGAGGGAAGTCTGTGTAATAAAAATGCCAGAAAGAAGAGCTGTAGCCATGACATTAGGTCAGGACTCTAATCTCTCTGACTGGAAATAAAGGGGGGCGTTTCAAGTTGGTGCTGAAAGTCCTCCAAATGCTAAAATTTCATTATTTTATATCTCTACCTTGTTAACTCACCAACAACTATCATCTGTATGTTTGGAAACTCTATAGTACCAACTCCTGCAGTTTGGCTTTGTATCAGAAATACTGGGAAACGTTTCAGAAATACAGATTCCTAGACCTCACCCCACATCTGCTGGGTCAGGATCTACTGACTGAGGCCTGGGGATCTGTTTTTTTGTCTTAAGTTCCTCAAGCAATTTTGAAATTCCCAGTCTGCCAGTGATGGCGGATCTGCATTTAGGAACTAGACACACCTGTGATCAAATGTTGCTGACCTAAACCTCACTGAATTCATTCATTTCTGAAGCTCTTTCTGACAGGTACTGTGACTTTCCATTTAACACTAGCCAGATGGCAAGATGAACTTATTCCATTACACTCATGCACCAACAAGTAATATTTGAAGGCTAGCATCAAACCAGATACCCCATTTCTTTATCTTTCACATCATCCTGTTCTGCTCTGCCTGCAGAAATAATTCCTGAAATCTTTGATCATTTGAGATACAAAAAGAAAACCAAATAAGGGGGGAAATGGTTAAACATTTGTCCATTGACTCTTTCTACAATATAGATTAGCAGTTCTTACAGTAGTCACTAAGATAGGTTGACAGATATTTCCTTCACTGGCATTAGTGATCTGTGATTTGTGGGAATCACTGGTTCTGAAGGTTCAAAACCTGGGAAAGTCAGAAAGAAAAAAATTGTAGTCTCACAATAGTTTTTTCTTTTTTGATAATAGTTCATGGAGTGGGACTACATTATAGGTACCAATTCTTTATTGGGTTTTTTTCTCCACATTCCATTTATTCTTTAACCTGCTGGAGTATGGCTCCTATCCCCCATTAAAAGCCCATCATTGTTGCCAAAGATGTAACATCTTTCAGCCCAATAGGCACTTCCCTTTCCTCCTCTTAGAGAAGCTCTCAGCAGATTTGACATCCTTGACCATTCCCTCCTTGAAACACTCTTTGGCCTTGTGAGTCCACGTTTTCCTGGTTTTCCTTTTCCTGCCTTACAAACCAACCCTCCTCAATCTCCTTTTCTGACTTTTCTTCCATATGACTTCTCAACTTTGGAGTTTCTCAGACTTTTGTTCTTGAGCTTTTTTTCTCTCTTTAATTTCTTCCTAAGTAATTTTTATCCATTCCCTTGGACTTAGTATCATAGCACGTATTATCTTCATCCCAGATCCGCCTCTGAGCTGCACAGGATTAATCTCTCGTTGGACATCTTACTGACTTCTCAAACTATCCACAGTTGAACTTCAACTCTCCCAGCCCTGACTCCCCTCTTCTTCGTCTCATTGCTCTGTATGCAGTTGTTCAAGCCAGAATGTGGAAAAACATTAACCTGCCATCACATCCATTAACAGTGTATACCTAGCTTCATGATTTTTACCATATCATAGTACCGCCTGGGCTTTTATTTACCTAATTATTTTCGCTTAACCAACTTGTCTCATCCCAAGGAATAATAGTCATCAGTGTGATGTGCTTGTTATATTATTTCTAATAAAATATTCATATATCTCAAATCATATATACCATCATGTCTGACATGCTTTCAGAAACACATTACATTAACCTCCAAAATACATGGTGAATCTGTCCATATTTCTCTATCTCTACCATTATCACTCAGTCATCTTTCACCTGGGTCACTGGTTGAAGCCACCTAACCAGGTTCTTTGCTTGCCTTCTTCTCATCTAACCCATTTTCATACAATTAGAAGAGTGATCTTAAAATATAAATTAAATCATGTCACTCCACAGCTTAAAAACCCTTCCAGAAGTTTTTTTTTTTTTTTCAGAAATGAGTGTCTTTGTATTTTTATATATTTTTTGGCAACACCGTGCAGCATGAGGGATCTTAGTTCCCTGCCCAGAAATGAACCCAGGCCTTCTGCATTGAGAGTGTGGAATCTGAACCACTGGACCACCAGCGAAGTCTCCAGAAGCTCTTAACACATAAACTCCCATTTTCCTAATCATGTTCCTCAAGACCTTGCAAGATCTAGTGCTTATCTCATTTCTCTAGGGCGAGAGGAAGAATAAAGAAATATATGAATAAAATAAATAGTATATCAGAGGCAAAAGGTACAATGAAAAATAAAATAGGGCAAGGAAAGATTAAATAAACCATTTGGGGCTAGGAAGAATTCTTACTTTGGTTGAGTGGTCAGGGCAGGCCTAACTGAGAAAAAAGACTACATTTGAGCAATAGCTTCAAGTGGGTGTTTGGGCATAGGGCAGTAAGTTCTAAGAAAGTGAGGTGGAAGCAAGCTTGACATAATCAAAAAATATGAAAGAGCCCAGTGTGGCTCAGAGTGGAAATGGGAGGAGTGTAGTAGCAGATGAGGTCAGCAAGATTTGTAATGGGGCAGAATTCTTTAGGACTCTAGACCATCATAAGGATTTTCAGTTTTCCTCTTTAACAAGATGGGAGAGCTTTGGGGTTGGATTTTGAGTGAAGGAGTAATATGGTCTGACTTTAGGTTCACTCTACTTTCTTCATTGAAAATAGACTGTGGAAAACAGAGGCAGAAACAGCATTTTGGCTCT